TTAGCTCCAACTTGCCTCAACACACCTGACTGGAAGTTTCTATGCCTAGTAAGAGCTTGATTAGCTGGTTCAGGTGTGTTTAATTAGGGTTGGAGCTAAACTCTGCAGGACACCGGCCCTCCAGGACCGAGTTTGGACAGCCCTGCTTTAAAATAATCGGCACTATACGATGTATATGGTACAATATTCAGTTAGTAGTAAGCAGTGTTGGGCTAGTTACCTTAAAGAATGCAATATATTACTCATTACTAGTTACTCATTTCAAAAGTAATATTGCTACTTTACTTATTACCTTCTGGCAACAGTAATTAGGTACACTACTAGCAAAGTCCCTTTGAGGCAAGTCATGACACTCGAAACACCTCTCGGGCATGCAGGTGCAGCTCCTATCACATTGAATGGGGAAACATCAAATTCTCCAAAACTGTTCACTAAGCTTACGATTAAATTTAATATTTGAAATCACCAATGGAATCTGACAACTGTGTCATAAATATTGTTTCTTTTGCTTAAATAGCGTTATAAAAAGCTTATTTTTTCAGGCTAGATCAGTCAGTGCGCATGCGCAGTCCTGAGCGCACGTCTCAGAACGCTGTTTCTATAGCAACCGGACTTCTAACGGCAGCTGCAGTGACGCGCTGACTTTACCGGTTAGCGATTGGCTCTTTCATTCAGAAGGCGGGGCTTCCTGCGATTGAGCGGCCATATTAAGTGTTGCATTTTTTTTATTTTTTATTAAGTGTTGCATTTTTCCCGTTCAAAACTATACGAGTGACACGTCTTGGATATTCTATAGTCTTTGCTACTAGTTACATTACTTTTTCTTCACACCCCACAGAAGTTGTAACTGTGTATCTTCCACATAAAATTCTAGTGATTGATAGTGACATTCAAGTAGAAGTGCTGTATTAATCTCATTAATTGTTATGTGTAGCCTGAAGCTAATTGTCATTTCTCTGTTACCCATATACGATTATATTTATATTTCATCAAGTTTGTAAGAAACTTTATTTTTCCAAAAATATTTTGAATTATAGTAATATAATGTACCACATGCTGATCAGAGGGATGTGGGTGGGATGTAATGCCAGAGTAAAGTAAAGCCACAATTTACACAGCAGTGCTCAGATCATCTTTTTTCCTGACAAAATCAATATAATGCAATATTTCTATCTGCCGAATGTAAGCTTTTCCATATTACAAGCTTGCCTGCTGCACTGGGGACATCACATGCATGTGCGAGTCGTGAAAATTATGAAAATAAATCTAGGAATTATTTGATTGTTGGATTTTAAATCAGCGGGGTTGAGGCATCAAAAGTAACTAAGTAACTAAGCTGTTTTATGGATGGTAACTAATATTAATACTGAAATCTTTTTAGTAATTATTTTTCGCCTGTCCCGATATGAGAGTTGCCCGCACCAATATGGCGGCGACGTTGACGTGCGGTCGAGCGGCCAATGAGGCGTCTAGGTATTTATTATGTCTATGGTCCGTCAGTTCAATTTCTAGGCTCTCATAGTCTGCATGCAGTGCACGCTCCTCGCCGCAGGAGGCGCTCGTTCAGTCACAGCTGCAGCATCTGTCCCGAGCGCCGCCGAGCAAGTCATTTTTCTCGGACTTTCTGCGGACGCTCACAACTACATCTACAGTGTGTTTTGCCGGGAACGCTGTGTGATATTCAAGTTGTTCATTGATTAAAGTTAGAGCAGTCTCGGGAAAATGATCGCATATTGCGGGGATGCGACAGTAGCTGTGTGCGATAAGTGAGGATTTGGATAAATTACTTAAAAACAGTTTGATAAACTCCATCCGCGCGCTTCATGTTCGACAGGACAGGAGGAGGACCGTTTAAAATTAGTCAAATCGTTCAGTATTTGGAGGATATCGACATATGGAAACAGGAAGTTGAACAACAGTTTGGTTTCAGTCGAGTGTTGTGATGGGTAAAGATTATTACAGGGTCCTGGGGATAGAGAAGGGCGCCTCTGATGAGGAGATCAAGAAAGCCTACAGAAAACAAGCTTTAAGATTTCATCCCGACAAAAACAAATCAGCCGGAGCAGAAGATAAATTCAAAGAGATCGCCGAAGCGTATGATGTCCTGAGCGATGCCAAGAAGAAAGACATCTATGACAGATATGGAGAGGATGGTAAGAGCTGTCACTGTCCCACGGCAGATAGATAGATAGACAGACCGGGATAGATAGATAGATAGACAGGGGGATAGATAGATAGACAGGGGGATAGATAGATAGACAGGGAGATAGATAGACAGGGGGATAGATAGACAGACGGGGATTGATAGATAGACAGATGGGGATTGATAGATAGACAGATGGGGATAGATAGACAGACAGACAGGGGGATAGATAGATAGACAGGGGGATAGATAGACAGACAGGGAGATTGATAGACAGACAGGGGGATAGATAGATAGACAGACGGGGATATATAGATAGATAAACGGGGATGATAGACAGACAGGGGGATTGATAGATAGACAGACAGGGGGATAGATAGATAGACAGACAGACAGGGGGATAGATAGATAGATAGATAGACAGGGGGATAGATAGATAGATAGACGGGGATAGAAAGATAGACAGACAGGGAGATAGATAGACAGACAGGGGGATAGATAGATAGACAGACAGGGGGATAGATAGATAGACGGGGATAGATAGATAGACAGACAGGGAGATAGATAGATAGACGGGGATAGATAGACAGACAGGGGGATTGATAGATAGACAGACAGACAGGGGGATAGATAGACAGACAGGGGGATAGATAGATAGACAGACAGACAGAGTGTACCAGTATCAGTGAGGATTTTAGATATGGTACTTTATATATATATGATTGTGATTACCATTGAACATATCCAAAAAACAGTGATATGGAACAGATAGATAGATAGCCCTTAAAATGTGCTGTGGTGGTACCATGTTACACCTTTTAGTACTTTTTGATTAAGTTTGATTGACAGATAGATGCACACACACTGATATGCTATTAATTAAGCCATGAGGGAAATGGCAGTACAGCAGCAGCTACAACAACTGGAAATTAATAAAATACAAATTAAAAAAAAAGGAAACAAGTCACATTGTATTGCTTATTAAAGGTGTAGATGGTATATTGCTTTATTATTATTATTATTATTTAGACGTGTCATGTGCCCTGACATGTTTCTGCTTTTCGGTGGTAAAGGCCCCAATATAGTCACTGCTAAATTCTTTATTGTTCTTCACCCAGGGGTAAAAAGAAGTTTGAAAAAGTGTAATCAATAAATAAATAATAACTCGCACTGAAGTTATGTGCATACAGTATGTGTGTACTATATGCTGCTGATGTTATTTACATTACGCACACTGTACAGATACATAACAAAGACAACAGTGAGAAAAGAGCTGCTGGGTCAACACTCCAAAGAGAAAGGAAAACTTGAAATCGCATCATATGACCCCGTTAACTCAACCAGAGGTCCCTGACAAAAAAACGTTTTTATTTATTTATTTGTGGTGAAAGGAATACATAAATAAAAAATATTCCAAAAATATTAAATACCATGGATGAATATTTACTGAGTAATAGCTACATTATTTTGTAGAGGGGAGTCAAAATGACTACTTTCACCTGAGATTTGGAGCCAAATTACAGAGGAGGGGGAAAATTGCTTTAGAAAGATGGACTTTATTAGTAAAATCTGATGACTATCTTTGTTGCATTATATGCCAATTGTCACAGTTAAAAAATGGGAAATGCAGTTTTCGCATTTTCCCCCCAAAGTTTGCTGTAACTCAAGAATTATTAAAGAGATCTAAATATTTTAGATGCTGGTTCTTCACTTTTGTTATTTCCATTTTTAAGGTCCTATATGGTTCAATTCCAGAGATATGGAGGTCTTAATCTGGCTACATTGTTTAAGAAATGAGCCTGAAAAGATTTCCAACACCCACTCATTTTGTAATCATCATGTGCCAGTGGCAGTCTGAAAGGGTTTTCCAGAAAGTGCGGAGTTTTCCAGAATGTTTGCTTTGGCAAGCTGGATACCACCACTCCAAGCAAACATTGTTTTGGCCACAGTTTGTTCGAAATGACATCACACCCATTCGCTCTTTGATTTCGCTTGAAGTATATCGGGGTCTTGAGTAGGGTTGCAAAAAGGTGGAAAATTTCCAGTAAATTTGGGAAACTTTCCAGATTTTTTTTTTTTTTGTGGAATATTCCAGGGATTTTTGGAAAGTTTCTGGAAATTTTCCACCCCTTTGCAACCCTAGTCTTGAGTGAGGCATGTGTTGATTAAGTGAGCTCCCACAGTAGCTCATACAGTTAAGCTTTAGCGTCTCTGTTTCCGTGCATTCACACCGCCGCCGTCGAGAGCGTCAAAGTGGCCGAAAGTCATTCATTTTCAATGTGAGCCGGCGTCGAGCAGCGGCGCGACTTGGACGTTGAGGGCGTCGAGGAGAGTTGAAATCAGGTCAACTTTATGGTAATGAGCTATGACGCGGTTCTGGTAGCAGTCCAATGCTTGAGAGGATTCCAGAGAATGCAGTCCTGTAAACTTTGGTTCCGACCACATTAGTTCCCAAGTAAAATGGAGGAGAGGTTGATTATTGCTGTGGCGGGTTTCCCAATAATCTATGACGTGTCCCTGTTTGCGTACAGGGACATAAATTTAAAAAAATGATGCGTGGACCAAGGTGTCTGAGATTGTTGGTGTTCCTGGTGAGTTGCTGATGTGCATTAACGTTATAGTCCCAGTTCACTTTTAAACCTTTAAATCAATTTTCCTGATTATACTTACATTAAATAATGTTTATACCTGATTATACTTACTTAAGTAACATTTTCAATGCAGGACTTTTACTTATATCAAGAGTATTTTTACAGTGTGGTATTAGTGCTTTATACATTATGAGGTAAAGGATCTTAATACTTCGTCCACAACAATATTTAATGAGGTTAACTTTACGTTACCCTCCTTGTGGTCAGTCTGCACAAGATCAACAAGCGTGTTTGCTTTGCGACCCCTTTAAGTACAAAATAAGCATTCGATCTGCGTCAGAGCATCCACAAATCTTTCTACAGTGTTGGTAGGGCGGCCAGAGCGATTTTTGATGCTCTCGATGGTGGCGGTTTGAACGCACAGTTTGAGTGAAGCCTGATGACCTTTGGTGACCGTTTGCGTTTTCTCTGAATGCTGCAGACACAGGAGTGTGTAGGGTGGAATCGACGAGGAACTTTATGAAACCCCCTCTGAACTCCAGATTAAGAATTCAAACTGTACCATGTGACCTGGTCATTCCTGTGAGCTGGTTCTGCTCTTTCTATATGCTATTTCTTATATTTTCCCTAATGTTGACTTGCTGTTTTTCTGTAAACATAATTTCTTTCTCCCTCAGGGCTTAAGGGACACGCTGGAGGCGGCACCAATGGCCCTAGCTATACTTTTCACGGCGATCCTCACGCCATGTTTGCAGAGTTCTTTGGTGGCCGTAGCCCATTCGATCAGTTTTTTGCATCTGCTGGGGGCACTGATAATGACATAGACATTGACGACCCCTTTGCGGCCTTCGGAATGGGAGGAATGGGTGGATTTCCCAGATCTTTCAAGTCTCGGGTAGGCGGTGTGCATGGGAGCCGAGAAAAGAAGAAAGATCCCCCAGTAGTGCACGAGCTCAAGGTGAGTCTGGAAGATGTGTTCTCTGGTTGCACAAAAAAGATGAAGATCTCTCGCAAGAGGCTGAACCCGGACGGCTGCACGGTGCACACCGAAGACAAGATCCTCACCGTGGACATCAAACGTGGCTGGAAGGAGGGGACAAAGATTACCTTTCCCAAAGAGGGAGATGAGACGCCAACCAACATCCCTGCCGACATAGTGTTTGTGGTTAAGGACAAGGTTCACTCAGTTTTTCAGAGAGACGGCTCTGACATCATCTATCCTGCAAGGATATCCCTCCGAGAGGTGAGTGTCTAGTGTCTGCTGCTGAGATAGTTACTTAACGTCCAGTAATATACACCAGTGAACTTTTGTTAAGCTTTTAAAAAATGTTCAACAACTACAGTAATGGGTAATTTTGAAAGCTAAATTTGTTCCTAGGAAAGTACATCTTTATGCAAGTGAAGTAACATGAGAATACAAAGGTTAAATTAAAGCTGCATGATTTTGGGGGGAAAAAGTTTAATTTAATTAAAAAAAAACAATTCTTAAAACAAAAATTGATATTTGCACATTTAAAACACAACTTTTATTTTTTTTTAACTCTAGGTTTACTGTGTTTGTGTTTCTGTTTATTTTCAATAAGCCCTGCTGTTTTGTTATGGAAGGATATTCCAGACTATTTTCAAAAGGAATTGCAAATTGTGTTTTCAGTTGCGTTTTCCATATGTGGACGCATAATCCAAATCCAACTGCAATTATTCAGACCAATGTGAAAATCAACCTGTGTATTTATGCTGCAAACAGGCAGAGTTGTAAATGTGAACTGGTGGATCGACAAGAAGATATGTATATGTTATATATGTATATGAATGTTATTTAATTAATATAATAATTTATTGAAAATAATTGTTTACATTAATATAATTTTCAATACTTTTGACTCATCCATTTTCTTAAAAATGGTTTAAAGGCTGAAATGTGAATTTGATCATTTTATAAAACTTTGTTTTTGTGAAAACCTGTATCTGAACTGTAAATCATGTTTTTTACAGTTTAAGATGTTAAAATAGACATTGCCCTATCGCGCTCATATGGTATTAATTTTATTTGTGCAGGTCTTAAAAAGTCTTAAATTTGAGCTTAAAAATCCTGCAGATATCCTGGTATAGCAGGGCTCGAAATTAACTTTTTTACTTGGTAGCACTGGTGCTCCCAACTTCAAAAAGTTAGGAGCACCAGCAAAAATTTAGGAGCACTCACCAAAAATTTAGGAGCACCACAACTACAAATTATATATTAACAGATTTTATCCTTACATTCTTAACTTTAATGCAGATTTTGTATTGGTTAATATTAGCTGTCAATCTCTCAGTCACTGCTTTCCGCTAACTACCGCGAGAAAAAAGTGGCTGAAGAAGAGAGAAAATGAAAAGAACACTGACAGATTTCTTTTGTAAATAACCTAAAGTTAAGCTCTTCTTTGCCGAGGGTTAGGATGGTGTATGCGGTGTTAAATTTTACATTCAGCTCTGCCAGTTGCACCAAACGGCTGGCAGCTAGGGGTGTGCGATATTGACAAAAAATTATATCTCGATATTTTCTGGGATTTTATCGATAACAATAATTTGAAAAAAAGAGTGTTACTGTGCTGATATCTTAAGGACTACAGTGGACAGCTGACTCCTAAAATTTTTAATATTCATATTCTGTGTGGTGGTCAGTTCACAGCAGTGACAGAAATTAATCTTTTCCAATATAAAACAGGTCGCACGACAACAATTATATGCACTCGCACAAATGCTCCCAAATATATTTTGAGGTCGCACAGATTCAATTTCGGGAGCATATGCGACCAAAATGGTCGCAATTTCGAGCCTTGTATAGTGATTTTGGTTATTCATGTAGCCTTGGGGTAAATAAGGTTAATGTTTATTTCTACATTTACTAATACACATTTTTTAACATTTCAAATTACTGTACAGTAAATAAATGAGAAAAATGAAAGAAGATTTAAAATAAGAGGAGTGAAGGCAAAAGTAAGTCATGTTAATCTCTCTTCACCATCATTTACTCAGGCTCTATGCGGCTGCACCATCAGCGCTCCCACCTTGGATGGTAGAACTGTCACAGTGACATCACGTGATGTCATCAAACCCGGTATGAAGAAGAGGATAGTGGGAGAAGGACTGCCACTGTCCAAATATCCTGAAAAGAGAGGAGACATGGTGCTGGAGTTCTCAGTGAAATTTCCGGACAAGTTGGGACCGAGTACTCGTGAAGCTCTGGTTCAGATCCTACCACCTTGATCTTTGCAGCCACTCGAGGACAGACTCTCAACACACAGATCCTATGATTGGGCCCTTCTGATTTCCTAGATATTATTGCACCTGAAAGTATCAGTGGTAAATGTACAAACAAGTCAAGCTCAGAGAAACACAATAGAGCTCCAATACATTATTTATATCCCCTTACTTGTATTGCAGTGCACTTTTACAAAACACTGAAACATTTCAGAAGTAATATATTGACTTTCACACATAGTTTTACAGTACCTCAGAGTAAACACTCCGTCATCCTCCTCTTTACTTCTTCAGGTTTCTTTCCCCTTGAATCTGTTTATATTTTCTTTTATTCCAATTTTAGTCGCTGGGCAGTCAAAATTTTGCTTGACAGAAACCATCACTTCTGAACATTAGGGTTTTATATGTTTCTGAAGATCTCAAATAGTAATTGTAGAAGTGTGTGATTGTGGGTGTGTGAAATCCCAATGAAAGGCCTGCTTTGCATAGAGTGAGCCCAGGAAATTCACAAGGGCTCATGAGCATTATCACAGCGTTTCCAGAGCATGTTAAAGTGTGGTCACATTTACCATTGCTTGATAATATTTCACAGGGGAAATGTAGTCCTTGCAATCCACCTTATTTTCCAATGGTTAAGTAAGCTATTTTCTGTGAATGTGTAAGATTTCTGATTCATTAGCTGCTGTAGGTAAATAACTGCCTTAGGCTCCAATCAGACAGAATGCGTTTTTTTTTGCAGTGCGAGGCGCCTTTTTTAATAGTTTTCTATTGATTGTGAGCGTTTTGCGCACTGTTTAGGCGCCCCAGGCACCTCGTGTTTTTGTAGGAGTGCTCTGAGCACCTGAAGTTGAGAAAACTTTTTTTTTTTTTGATAGTCCAATCGAATGAATGGAGAGGCGGGCCTTGCATTGTGGTGATGGTAGTTTACAGTTGCTTGGAACGTCCGGAGACTGCAAAGATGGAGGAGAAACTTGTGGTGGCTGTCGCAGGTTACCCGAAGTTGTATTTTTTTTTATACGTTTCCGCTAATATGACAGTTTACTTAACAGCAAACCAAAGATATTAGAGCGTTCACGCTATAATCCTTGATTAGACTGACAGGACAGCTGATTCGGTGGTTGCCTAACAACATAAACCCACAGCACACTGCTCTTTTCAGAATTACAAAAAGTAAACCAAAAAAAGGCAGTGCAGTGTGCCTTGCGTTTTAAAACCTGAAAAACGTGTTCTGTCTGATCGGGGTCTTATGTGTCAGAGAAACAAGTGTGCAGCCATCTTTAGAATTTTGTCAAACCAGTGTTTTTTTTTTTATAATCATGACAGTACATTAAAATAATATTAAGAATACCTGTTTGCAATATCAAGCAGTATAACAAGCAGTTTTGTTGCTAAAAATGACTGGAAGAGAATGACACCGGAAGCCTCGCACATTCAAGTTACAAATGACTGCGTCAGCTCGTACGTTGATCGCAAGTTTAGTGTGAGGGTGAATATTCCCCACGCAGATTTTCAAACAAAGCATCTTTCTTGTGCTCAACGCGGTGAATTTCCGTGACCACCAACAGTGTTGCCAGATTGGATGGACGATTTCCAGCCCAAAAGCTCACCAAAACCCGCCCACTCACAGAAAAACCATCCAAAACGTTAACTGTCAAAATAATGTGATAGAATGTTATTGCCATGTCAATCAAGGTGTTGATAAGGTCCAACTCCTTATAACAAAATACTATAAAAATAGATACATCTCACAGAAAAAAAAAGATAAAATCAGGGCAAATACATTAAAGAGAATTACCAAATATGAAGTGAAGTGTAGCCAAGTATGGTGTCTCATACTCAGAATTTGTGCTCTGCATTTAACCCATCCTTGTGATGGTGTCCCATACTCAGAATTTGTGCTCTGCATTTAACCCATCCTTGTGCACACACACACACACACTATGAATACACACCTGGAGCAGTGGGCAGCCATTTTTGCTGTGGCGCCCAGGGAGCAGTTGGGGGTTCGGTGCCTTGCTCCAGGGTCTCATCTCAGTCGTGGTATCGAGGGTGGAGGAGAGCATCCCTGCCTGTACAGAGACTCAAACCCCGCAACCTTTGGGTTACAAGTCTGCTTTCTAACCATTAGGCCATGACTGTCCCTATGACTAAAATATGCAGGCAGACACTATGTCAAAACAGCAATCAAGAAATTAACCGATAACCTCAAAGTCAACAGTCAGATTAAGCCAATTTAAATTCAAAAAGTGCCCAATATAAGTGATCGGAATTAGCAAATCAATGGGCAATGTCAATCATCGATACATACTGTACGATAATCCGACCATAACAAATGAACAACAACAGTAGTGCGCTTACCTTCGTGTCACACTTTACCTTCAAACAGAACTAGAGGAAGTCTTTCGTTAAGTACATACTGTAGAACATAATGCAGACTTGGCACAGTCCCATATTCAGTTTTGATTTTGATTAAATTATTCAACTGTGCTCTGATTTCAGAGTTACAATGATATTAAAACCTTCATGTCATCGTCCTCCACAGGTGTAATTCACACTTAAGAGTTGAGTCACTCTCCCACTCTTTATCATTTAACTTATATTTAGGCCACTCTGGCATTGTGGGATCACGTGAATATACAGCTATACATTCAAAATCTGATCCCTTATCGTGTTAAAACCCAATAACTCATGAATCATCACATCTGACTGCTGATCCCTAGTGATTGGCCAAAAATGAGGCAGGCAACATCAGCCGAATCTGCAGTGGGCGTGTGAGCTTAGTATAGTCATGATGACTGATAGGATGCAGTACATGCACACTTGGGTTTTGTTTGTTAACCAATTAGCCTATACTATTTAGATGTTTGAAAACCGCCAAACTGACCCCAAACCAGCCCAAATTTTTTCCAAACCAATTTTTACCCGTACAATCAAATTCAAAACCACCTAATTGGGCGGGAACCCTGGCAACACTGACCTTGAACCCATGGCAGAATCTGTGTGAGGAAATTCTTTGCGCTCACGTGGAATTCCCAAACGCATAGATTCCTGTTGGATTTCGACTGAAAATTCGCTGAACAATGGTAAATGTGACCGCACATTTACATTGCATACACCACTCGCTTTCTCCTGCTAGGAGTGATCCATGAAGGGTTACTGTGATCACCATGTCACCACTGTGTCTTTGAGCACATAACTGCTCCATTCAAACCTAGTTATTTGTTGTGGCCGAGTACATTTCAGGTATAAAAATGCCTAAATGTAGCTTTAATGAACTATTAATGGGTGATATTTTGGAAAGCATAAATAGTGTGTAATTGTTGCTAGTGGTGCAAAATTACACACTTCAGCTTTCAAGACTTCTAATTTCCTAACCAGCATTTGTGGGAATTTACACTATGAAACATTCAACACAACTTAAACCTTCTTTTGCTTGCAATAAATGTAGCTTGAAAATAATTAATAATATTCTTTCATGGCCCTGGAAACACACTGTTATTTTAGAGTAATATATTTATGCTTGTAATGCACATATTGAGATGATGTACAATGATGAGATGATGGCGACTTTATTGGATTTTGCATCTTGGAACTGAATTACCAGAAGAAATTTTATAAGGAATGACAGTATTTGTGCCAAATGTATACAGATTGAGATGGCACATATGCACACAGTTTAAAGTACCTCACACATTATTGCTGCATCATCAGCATGCTATTTGAAATTCACAAAGTTATGGAATATTTGCATTTCTGTAAAAAGATATTGGCTTTTTTTTGTGAAATGCTTTACAACCCTTTATCTCATATGCGTAATTGTTTTTACTTCTTGCAATTAAAGGCTTTACAAATGCTGTCTTGTAAGTCTGTTACTGTATTTTTATACAGGAATGTATATGCTCCTTGATCATGGAAAAGTATTGTGATTGCTAGCGCTAGAAGAGTTTTTTTTTTAAGTATTAGAAAAGTTTTATTTTTCTACTGTTTCTACTGTGCTCTAAAGTATTCAAAGGCCCCATCACATCAAGAATTATAATGAATATTAATGTCCACACCAACAGATGATATTGTGCTGCTTATTATAAGTGCACACTGCAGTTTTGTCGTCTGCCTCTTTAAATGCTTGAGCTGTTCCTCTGTCGTCTTCTCTGTGAACAAGCTTAAAAGGGTCATATGATGTTGCTAAAAAGAACATTATTTTGTGTATTTGGTGTAATGAAATGTGTTTATGCGGTTTAAGGTTAAAAAAACACATTATTTTCCACATACTGTACATTATTGTTTCTCCTCTATGCCCCGCCTTTCTGAAATGCGTCGATTTTTACAAAGCTCATCGGTCTGAAAAGCAAGGTGTGCTGTGATTGGCCAGCTATCCAGTGCGTTATGATTGGCCGAATACCTCAAGCGTGTGACGGAAATGTTACGCCCCTACCATACTGTGATGCCCTGTCCGGCCGGAGCGACGATTCAAAAACATTAAAACCCATTATAAACGAGGCATTTGTTGCATCCAGTGGGGACATACAGGTGCATCTCAATAAATTAGAATGTCGTGGAAAAGTTCATTTATTTCAGTAATTCAACTCAAATTGT